GTAGTGGAATTGTTTCAAATGGGTTTCTTTATCTTGTTGGGAAACTTTAGAAATTGGGATCAGCATGCTGGTTTTACTTTCTATCTAATCAACCAGAATTTAGGGATTGGATATTATTATGGAACACTTTTGCTATTGAAGTCTTGTATGCACTTACTTTTGAGCTTGATTATAATGGCTTTGGTTTTTTCATGTGAGAGAAAGTTGTAACTTTTGATATTAGTTGGATTGATTGGATTGGATTTGGATCCTATTGAAAGCAATATGCACAGTTTGTAATGTGTTTATGCTGCAATAGTTTCTTTCTGTAAACATTGAATCTGTGCCTTTTACTTGATCACTACAAAATAGGAATGATTATATTCTCCCTGGTGATGATTATTATGGGGATAATGTATTCAGAGCAACTCCAGAATGCTCTGATTAGGAATTCCCACTAGAGCACCCTTAAGTGTTTCTAGTGGTTGGTTTGGTAGTGTTAGTAGATTTTCTCATTGTATTATTAACCAAAGAAAAAGAGCCTAGCCCAGAAGAAGAGAATAATACTGTACAAAGGCACAAGATGAAATGCCTAAGAAAAACCCAAAAGGGCAAGGCAGAGAAAGAACCGAGCTATTATTTGGTTACATATTTTGAGAGCTTGGATCTTCCTTTATTTGGTTTGCTCTACTTTATCATAACAGTTGAAACCACTAAAGGCTGTCCTAAAATATACATTTACTAGCATAAAGTAGCAGAACCTTGCCCCTATTGATCTGTTGATGCTTTGTGTGTGTTAAGCAATATAAATAGATAGATATATCTATCCACTTTTCACATTTTAGTTTTAGCTTCCAAGTTTTAGTGTAAATGCCTCACTTAGAGAATGGTCAAATATTAATCAATGAAATCATCACCTTGTAACCTCCCTTACCATTCCAAAAACACTATCTATCTTCTGCAATTACTAGTTTAATTAGTCACCATCAACTTCAATATGCCGGATATCGTTCATGCCAATAAAGCCACTACTAGTGATGAGTCCACTAAATTTGTTCCCATATTTTGTACTACCCTATTAATTAATTGAAAGATGAATGATTTCCAGCATGAAGACTTGAAAAGCTCCATAATGGATTGGAAAATGGAACTCTTTATCTTCTTTTTTCTTTCTTTCTTGCCCTGTTTCTTTGTTGTAATTATAAGAATATTGTGGGCTTACACTGATCACTGATTTAAGTTTATTAATGTTAGGATTTATGATATTACCAGCTGTCCAATTAAGTGTGATAGTAAAGTTAAAGTTCATGGGCTATGAAATTACTTAACTTCTTAAAGATTCCTAAATTATGATCAACTATCAAAATGTGGACGATCAAGTTATGTTTTGATGGACTTCACTATCAGGTTATCAACTATAAATGGTTAGGTCCCTACCCTCACATAAGATAGCTCATATAGCTAGTCTAGCTCCGTCGAACGACATTGAGTGAAGAGTTGTAGAGAGTGGGTGATCTATGCCATTTTGAGTATTCTCATGGCTTCATTTGGTATGAGATTTGGTTTATATATGTAGTGTCTTGTGTATGTGTGTGTTTCTTTACGGTTTAGTTTATAGTAATCCCTCATTTATACTGTTGAAGTTTCAGACCCTTATAGGAACTCATGCATATCCAAATTGATGTTAAATTAAACCTGTACCTCATTTCACTATCCTCAAGCGGCAAAAAAAAACTAAGACCACATATTTCTATAGAACATTTTTTTGAAAATAAATAAAAAATCTAGAGTAGGGTAAGCTCGAATTTGTGTGTGAAGAAAAACTCTTTTCTTCTTTTCTTCTTGCACTCTCCTTGATCTGTTAAGATCTATCAGTTTCCCCCGTCTTCAATCTAGTACTTCACATAGATTTTTCACTAGCCTCCCTTTGCCCAAGTGCTTGTCCTTATCCTTCATCTCTCTTTCCCATCAGAGCCACATAGAAAAGAGATTTTTGGATGAAATCGATTGGTTTGTATGCGCATGAATCATATGAGCTTGATGGATGAAATCCATTGGTTTGTGGGCATGAATTATATGAGCTCACACTTAAAGTTTCAAAGTGACATGAACTGGAATTCTTGAACACTTTCGTCTGAGATCTTTTGGTACCTCTCATCTTGTTTGGTGTCGTCTCGGAAAATAAAATAACCCAAGGACTGGAGAAAAAGTAAAAAGAACAAACATTCTTTCTCATAGAAATAATTTGACATTCTAATCCAACTACAGAAAATTTTGCTTTGCGGTCTTTAGGGAAGAAAAATTTATTCCAATTTTGTTTTTTATTACCCTTAAAGATTGAATTATGAAAAAATCATAGGTTTTTTGAGAGAAATTTCCGTTTTTAACAATTTCACAACGCCCAATCATCTCTTACATTTTTCTGCAAATGACTCAATTAAAAATGGAATTTGGAATTGTTGTGAAAACTTTTAGATAATTATTTTTTCACAATAAAATGTTCCAGGTTTTGTGCCTTTAAAAATTTCCACCCGTTGTAGCATAGGTTTGTTTGCGATTTCAAGAAGGAAAAAAAACATCGAATAGAGGCAGAGGGGAAATTACTTCAGATTTTCAAGTGGGTCTTTCTGTCCTGCAGAAGAAGAGTTAAAATTGCTTAGAAAATAGAGTACTTGTAAGTGAGAAATGCCAATAGGGTCTAGCACAGTAGAAAACGGACTTGATTTGCAGGCCAAAGGTCTCAAGTTCGAATCCCCACGGCGTTATAGTTGTGTGTGTGTGCGAAATCCCCATCCCTTGTAATTTAAACTATTGCTTGTACTAAAAAAAAAAGGTGAGAAAATATAGGGTACATGAATTTAGGAAAGAGAAAAGAGAGAGTAAAGACATTAATTGTCCAATTTCTTGACGGAATAAACACATGTCTCTTACTATGAGTGGTATTTTGGACGAAATTGGATGTGTCCTTGAATTGCGATAGAATCAAACTACATGGGTTAGATTGACAAATTTAAAACTACATGGACTAAAGTGAAAAAAGGGGAAAACTATAAGGACAAAAAATCACTTTTTGCCTATATTTGAGGAATTCGTCAAATAATTTTATTGAAGGGACTTTTAGGGTCTAGGGTGCATAATACATTACAATTTTTTTTTTCAACGATCCAAACCGTCTATTTCTCAAGTCTTTATTCATAGACCATCCTTGTAAAAAATTAGACAATTTGAAACCATTTAGACATCTAGGTTTAACCAACAAAATAGATGAACATGGTGCTACAAGAAAGCAATAAAATGACAACTATGAATTGGGTGATCAAATGATTTCCAATTAAAGTGATTTTTTTTTTTTGTAGAGATGATCCTTAAAGGAATATCTAAAAGATACAAGATTGATTTTTTTGTGTACAGGTGATGTTTCGCATCCTTATAGTCTTTATAGGAACTCATGCATATCTAAAGCAAGGTCTAAAATATCGATGGTTTCGGAAATATTGGCAGTCCAAAAATACGGAAATATTGATGGAAATATCGGGATATTATCGATATTGATAAAAATTGAACAAAACCCACGGAAATTGTAAGAAAAACTTGAAAAAATTTCTTGAAACTTTGGCGGATATTTATTTAGTCAATTATCTATTACTTTGTCACAAAAGATTGGAAGGAAATACATTGCATGATGGGTTTAACTGATTTAGTTGATTATATAGCGAGCTGACAAACACTGCGAGTGTAGAAAATATATAGTAATTAATGAAAAAAGATTAAACACACTATAATAATTTATTTATAATGATTTAGTATAATATTTTACCTTTATACATTGCATGGTAAGATACAAGAGTGACTTAGTACCACATAGAGTTCCTATAAGGTTCAAATTTGAGTTATTTACATTAACACCTCCTGAGGTTTTCGGCTTTTTCACAAAACTCCTTGAGGTTTTAGAAATTACACGAGCACCCCCTGAGGTTTTAAATTATTTCACAAAACTCCTTTTCATTGATTTTTCATCCAAAGACTGAAGATTTTATACAAAACAATTCTTCAAATGACAAAGTTGACCTTTGAGATTAGATTGCATATACTTCATTGAGGTTAATTTTGTAATTTGCATAATTTATTTTTCAATGAAATCATCAATTTTTGGACAAACAATTAACAAAAGGGGGTTTTGTGAAAACTAACTGAAACTTTAGGGGGTGTTCGTGTAATTTTTGAGACCTGAGGGGGTTTTGTGAAACACAAGAAACCTTAGGGGTTGTTAGTATAAATAACTCATCAAAATTTTCATTGTCTTCATCATCTTGATATTATTGATATTATAGTGATATTATCGATATTATAACAATATTATAGCGATATTTAGGCCAAATATTGCTGAAGTGAGAGAAATTATCAACGACGATATTTATTGATATTATTGATATTTATACGATATGTATATGGATACGTTCCAAACTATCCTTGACCCGTAAAAATGATAATATCCTCTATATTTCGTCAATATTATTGATATTTTAGACTATGATCCAAAGTGATGTTGAGTTTCCCCTACTGTTGGATTTTTAATTTGAACCTGTTACCTATTTTAAATATCTCAAACGGCTAAAAACCTAACTCCATAAATTTCTATAAAACTTTTTTTTTGAAGTAAAAAAAATTAATTTAAAAAAAAAAAAATCTTAGAGTAGGGTACTCTCAACACCTTCTGTGGTTCTCATATTTTCAACATCATAATTATGCATTGAGAAAACTTAAATAAACTAACAAACACAGTAGGGACTGTAGAATGTGATTAGCCCACTTTGTTTTATATTTAAATCATGTACGCAAAATCTAATCAGTTTCCACTCACAAAGGATAATCAAAGACGCCTCTATAAATGTGTACCTAGAATTATAGAGGTACACGAGCGATTCTTAGCAAGCAATATCAAGTATTATTTTCCATTTCTACATTATTCTCCCTACAAAAATCTCCAATTACATAGCTAGTTTTGGTCTAACAATTTCAAGATGAGGTCGCTGTTACTCTTAGGTGTTTTGTTTGCAGTTGTAACAATTTTTTTCTTCCCTTTTGAGGCCGATGCCAACAAATTGGTTCCGAAAGAGGGAAGGAAAGAAAAGATTGGCCATCATGTCCTAGTGCACGCCCGTTCTGGCAGAAAGCTAGGTGGTGAAAATGAACAAACTGCGGAAAATGGCGGCGGTGATAGTGGAGACAACGAAGATGGAAATAGTGGTGACGGTGATGATAATGATGATAATGGAGGCAATGAAGATGGAGAGAGTGATGATAGTGAGGACGGAGGCAATGAAGATGGAGAGAGTGATGGCAATGAAGATGGAGAGAGTGATGGTAGTGAGAACGGAGATGGAGAGAGTGATGGTAGTGAGAACGGAGGCAATGAAGATGGCGAGAGTGGTAGTGGTAATGGAGGGAATGAAGATGGAGAAAATGGTGGCAGCGGAGATAGTGCTGAGGGTGGGGATAACGGAGGAGGGAATGAAGATGGGGAGAGTGGTGACAGCGGGGATAGTGCCGAGGGTGGTGATGACGGAGGAGGGGATGAGGATGGGGAGAATGGTGACAACGGAGAAGGGAATGAAGATGGGGATAATGATGACAACGGGGATAGTGACGAGGGTGGTGATAACGAAGGAAATGAAGATGGAGGCGATGAAGATGATGGTGGCGATGACGTTTTCAGAAAATCAACTAAACATGGCCCAGGAGTTCCCCATTAATGTTATTAATTTGAGACGAAGATAAAAGACATGCATATATATAAATAAATAAAGCGTGTATAAAGCCATTAGAAGAGCTGATTAAAGCACGCCATGCATGTTTCTTCAAATTTATGATGAAATCGCCATCTTACCAAATGTTTAAAATGAATGAAGAAGAATGAGTAAGTACAGGTAGTGTGTTATTGGGAAATTGATGTTATCTGAGTTTTTTCTTTGTCTTCGTGTTTAGTTTTTATACTTTGTGCTTGAGATATATGGGGAGAAGAGGGAGGAAGAAGGGTTACCAAATGAAATAGTCGTATCACACAAAAGTAAAAAGGCTATATGAAATGGTTACCAAATGAAATAGTCGTAATTCTGGCCAGACTCGTTCTTTTGGCTACTCTTTTGTTGCTTTCTTTTCACAGATCTCAGTTCTGACATGCTATAATCGAGCTTTCTGATGGAAGTTGGACTTTCCAGACGTTCTATTAGGGTTTTACACTGCTAATAGTGGTACTCTCGCAAATTAGTACAATCTTTTTGGCCTATTTCAGAGGCTGTGAGATTTGGGGTAAATAGTATTTTTATCAACAACAGCTTATAGATAAACCCTATCATTTGGCTTACATGTTTGGATTATTTATTTACCTTCACTATTATTCTCTAAGAACACTCGAGATTAACTTTGGCGCTCATCATGAAAATTGTTTGTTTCGTATCACAGTTCTACATAGTTGAGTCTTCTGGAAGTCTTCCAGACACTTTGGACATTGGAGATGTTTCTGAATCTGGGTTGCCGCCGCCAGGCAATAGTACATAGAAAATGAAGAATATAGCAGTTGTTTGATACCATCATCTCCTGTTTGTTTTGTGGAAAACAAGAAACATGTCAGCTGTTTAATTTTGACATGTTTGGTTTATGGGCAACAAATATATAAACAGAAGATCTTCTTTTGACTTGTTTTGTGGACAGTTGTTTGATTACGGCTGTTTGGCTTATTAGATGCTTGTCCTTAATCTCTGATTTTTCTTAACACTTTCGGGTTTTATTGGCCGAAAGCTCACTGTTCAAACGTCATGCCGCTTTACAGTTTTCTGCAATGAAAGTTATGTGCTTCTTCCACCCGTTTTGTTTTCATGAAGGGAAAGATTGAGGACACTTAGAGTTCGTACGAAGTTCGTGACAAGTTCGTACCGTGGTTGGAACATAGCATAGTTTTAGAAGGTGGATTATAATAAAAGCTTACCACGTAAGTCCTCCCACCATATTATGATGGTGCGTCAGTTTTGGAACCGATCCGAAATCAATTGGTCAAAGAAATTGGACACTTAGAGTTTGTACGAAGTTCGGGACAAGTTCGTACCGTTGTTGGAACATTGCATAGTTTTAGTGGGTGGATTTCCATAAAAACTTACCAGGTGAGTCCTCCCACCATATTATGCTGGCGTGTAAGTTTCGGAACTGATCTGAAATCAATTGGTCAAAGAAATTGGACACTTAGAGTTCGTACGTAGTTCGTGATAAGTTCGTACCGCAGTTGGAACATTGCATAGTTTGAGTGGGTGGATTTCAATAAAAACTTACCAGGTGAGTCCTCCCACCATATTAAGATGGTGCATAAGTTTTGGAAATGATCCGAAATCAATTGGTCAAAGAAATTGGACACTTAGAGTTCGTACGAAGTTTAAGTGACAAGTTCGTACCGTGGTTGGAACATTGCATAGTTGTAGTGGGTGGATTTCCATAAAAACTTACCAGCTGAGTCCTCCCACCATATTATGATGGTGTACAAGTTTTGGAACCGATCCGAAATCAATTGGTCAAAAACATTGGACACTTAGAGTTTCGACGAAGTTCGTGACAAGTTCGTACCGTGGTTTAAACGTTGCATAGTTTTAGTGGGTAGATTTCAATAAAAACTTACTAGGTGAGTCCTCCCACCATCTTATGATGGTGCGTAAGTTTTAAAACCAATCCGAAATCAATAGGTCAAAGAAATTGGATACTTAGAGTTCGTATGTAGTTCGTGACAAGTTCGTACCGCAGTTGGAACATTGTATAGTTCGTGGGTGGATTTCAGTAAAAACTTACCACGTGAGTCCTCCCACCCTATTAAGATGGTGCGTAAGTTTTGGAACCGATCCGTAATCATTTGGTCAAAGAAATTGGACACTTAGAGTTCGTACAAAGTTCGTGACAAGTTCGTACCGTGGTTGGAACATTGCATAGTTTTAGTGGGTGGATTTCAATAAAAACTTACCAAGGGAGTCCTCCCACCATAATATGATGGTGCGTAAGTTTTACAACTGATCCGAAATCAATTGGACAGAGAAATTGGACACTTAGAGTTCGTACGAAGTTCGTGACAAGTTCGTACCGCAGTTGGAACATTGCATAGTTTTAGGGGGTGGATTACAATAAAAACTTTCCACATGAGTCCTCCCACTGTATTATGATGGTGCGTAAGTTTTGGAACGGATCCGAAATCAATTGGTCAAAGAAATTGGACACTTAGAGTTTGTGACAAGTTCGTACCGTGGTTGAAACATTGCATAGTTTTAGTGGGTCGATTTCAATAAAAACTTACTAGGTGAGTCCTCCCACCATCTTATGATGGTGCATAAATTTTGGAACCGATCCGAAATCAATAGGTCAAAGAAATTGGACACTTAGAGTTCGTACTGTAGTTGGAACATTGCATAGTTTTAGTGGGTGGATTTCAATAAAAACTTACCACGTGAGTCCTCCCACCATATTAAGATGGTGCATGAGTTTTGGAACCGATCCGTAATCAATTGGTCAAAGAAATTGGACACTTAGAGTTCGTACAAAGTTCGTGACAAGTTCGTACCGTGGTTGGAACATTCCATAGTTTTAGTGGGTGGATTTCAACAAAAACTTACTAGGGGAGTCCTCCCACCATAATATGATGGTGCGTAAGTTTTACAACTGATCCGAAATCAATTAGACAGAGAAATTGTACACTTAGAGTTCGTACGAAGTTCTTGACAAGTTCGTATCGCAGTTGGAACATTGAATAATTTTAGAGGGTGGATTTCAATAAAAACTTACCACGAGAGTCCTCCCACCGTATTATAATGGTGCGGAAGTTTTCAAACCGATCCGAAATCAATTGGTCAAAGAAATTGGACACTTAGAGTTCGTACGAAGTTCGTGACAAGTTCGTACCATGGTTGGAACATTGCATAGTTTTAGTGGGTGGATTTCCATAAAAACTTACCAGGTGAGTCCTCCCACCATATTATGGTGGTGCGTAAGTTTTGGAACCGATCCGAAATCAATTGGTCAAAGAAATTGGACACTTAGAGTTCGTACAAAGTTCGTGACAAGTCATACCATAGTTGGAGCATTACATAGTTTGAGTGGGTGGATTTCAATAAAAACTTACCAGGTGAGTCCTCCCACCATATTATGATGGTGCGTAAGTTTTGGAACCGATCCGAAATCAATTGATTAACAACTATGCACCCTAAAGATGATGGTCCCCCTGATTGATATCTCCCCCTAATTAATATCTCCTCTTGATTTTTATTAACTTCTGGAATTTAGGCTTTAGAAAAAAGTTTTGGTAAAAAGGTTCGCCAGATTATCTTATGAACGAATTTGTTTAACTCCAATCTCTTGGCTTTTTTCTGAAACTATGTCACCCTTGATGAACCCTTCTGTGATTTGGTTTGATGGGGTCAGTGGCCACCTTCCATGACGTTAATTTGTATTGCATAGTTGTTATACTGTTCATACCCTGCAATTGAGTTGATTTCTATAACATAGTATTAACAGTGTACTTTTATGACATAGTATTAATAGATTTTCAGTAACAGAGCATGCTCTATATTTTGCTCTATATATAGCTGTGCACTTGAAGTTTATGATATGCATAATGTGATTTTTACTAGGAAATTAGTTCTATGACATAGTATTAACAGTGTACTTTTTTTTTTCTTGTAGAGGTATTTCCGAGGCTCAAATTGCCATCCTCAAGAGACAATTAATCATATATACGTGACCCTCAAGAAAACCAGGGCAATTACTTTGTGTTTGCTTGAGAAGTACTTTCTCCCTTCATTCTTTGATATCATGGTTCATCTAGTAGTACATCTTGTTAAAGAAGTTCGTCTATGTGGGCTAGTTTATTTTAGATGGATGTATCCGTTTGAAAGATATATGTAAGTGCTAAAGGGGTATGTTCAGAATTGTACTCGTCTCGAAGGTTGCATTGTTGAGCGGTATATAGCTGAAGAAGCTGTAGAGTTTTGTACCGAGCTTTTATCTGATGTTACTATAGTTGGAGTGCCTTCAAGCCAGAAGATGGGAGTTTCGAAGCCATTATTAGGTTGCACAGTGAGCTTAGTTGATCTAGACTTGTTGAACCAGGCACATCTATATGTCTTGGAGAATACGGAGGAAGTCCTACCTTATATCGAGTACGTATGAGTTTAATTTTTCATATGTAACCATTTTAAATATTATTACTCCATATGTTTATCTTATATATAAGGGACCGTAATACGTGATTTTTTCATGTCAATTGTAGGGAACATATGATCCACATCAAGACCACTTATCCAAAATTTAGAAAGAGAACAAAGTGGCTACAAGATAAGCACAATAGCATTTTCATTCAATGGCTATGCTTTAAGGTATATATGTTATTGAATGACATATTGAACTTTTACTTTTCTATCTTTCTATATGTTAGATTGAATTAAGATATATGTTTAATTTGCATGTTCAAAGTGAACTTAATGGGGAAGACAATAATGGCGTATCAAAAAATTTGAGGTGGTTAGCAGCTGGTCCAAGCATGGCAGTGCCATCATATAGGAGCTATCTTATTAATGGTGTCAAATTTAACACCAAAGCACAAGATGATATGCGAACTATCCAAAATAGTGGAGTTTATTTACTTGCACATACTATGCAAGTTGCTAGTGCCAAGGATAAAAACCCTATTGTCTCCAATATGGGTTTTTATGGGATTATTCAAGAAATT